TGGCTAACCCCCCCCCCAACATCTCTCTTGTGGTTTTCAGGCTTATAACGAGTGCCCTTGCAATTGTTCATGCTTATCAGGGGAACAGCTTTATGTTCTGGTCAGCCACCACCAGTGTGCTTCAATAAAGGCTTGATTCACTTATATATGAGTGGTCTGGAAGTCAGTTTATGAAACCCTGGGATAAAGCTTTAACTATAACAATCCCAAGAATAATCTCTGACACAATAAACCAAATTTTGTTAGTGTTTTTGTAATTTTTTTTTGGTTGTAAGATAGATACAATATTTTTACTTTTTTGTGGTGCCGAGGATGAAACCCAGTACCTTACACATGTAAGGAAGCACTCTACCACAGATCTATAGACTGAGTCCCTAAACCAGAATTTTGATTAATGAAAAATCTACTAAGTCATTTTGGGAGACACCAAAAATACAGGTAAATGTCTGGGAAAGACTAGGGTTCCTTTGAAAAAGTACAAGCGGAACAGAAATCAAGCATAGAACGAACTTTATACTGACCTGACTTTCCTCTAGCATTTGTGTAATCTCCCAATTGCTGATGCATCTGGTCATAATTTGTCACTTTACTACTTCATTCTTGGTTTTTTCTTTCTTACCATTTCTTTGCTGTGACCTCCTCAGTTAATATCAAGGTTTTAAATCATAAAATCCAGGGAAAGCATTTGATGACTGTCTTTGAAAGTTGACACACACACCTCTTGTTTCTTAATCCTTTCTAATCCCTAACTTCATATGAATCCTTTAGCTCATAGTTTTAATTTTCAACTCCTTTGTAGGTTTTCTACTTTCACATCTTCTTCATTTGCACTGTATTATTGAGTAATAGAGTGTACAAATTTATCTTCCCAATCATTCACTTATTTGCTCTTACTTGCTCAATCTTATAAGAAATCAATTAGGAAGAGAAAAATTAGGCTTCATGAGCAGTGTGAGAAATGAGTCATTCCTGAACTCTCCCAGGACTCAGCTATTGCACTTCTTTCCCAGTAGTGTTTGAATATGGGACACCACTTTCCCTCAGGTTGTCTTCTAATATGAAATGATTCATATGCCCTCTTCCTATTAAGCAGGACCCAATAGAATACTAAAGACTGAGATGGGGTCAGAGGCTGTTTCTGCAAAGGATCCTTACTCAGCCATTGGGTAAGGAGAGAACAGAGGCAAAGGCCCTGGGGGAGTCAGAAGCTTCTATCAGGACCACCTGTCATATGCTAACAGATATGATGACTTTGACCTAGGCAGAAAGAATTTCTATGGAAATGCTATAAAGGGGCCTGTGTGACTGCTAGCTATGAACTTGCCTCCTTGTCTCTGATGAAGACTTATTGAGCCTAGTATTCAGGGACTTTATGCCCACAAAGAGCCTTAATCCAGGCCATCTGCACTCCCCACTTTATCTTAGGAATAATTCCTAGATTTTGGGCCACACACTGACCCCAAAATTTATTGTGTTAGCCATGATGAGGGGAACCAATTTGCCCAAAGGGCCTGTATTATTCCTATGGGGCTTGAGGGTGAATAAGAGAGAACTTCAGTAGAAATGTCTCAGCAGACCTCTGGGATTTCTGCACCATGGCATTCATTCTACTTTTTTCTCATCCTCCTCCTTTACTGTAGAGGTTAGGAAGTCCTTGGCATCCATCTCCTCAGCTCACTCAAAACACCTTGAGACTATTTGCCATTAATGTTCTCTTATTCTCTCCTTATTCCAGGATGTAATGAGTTTGTCTTTTAAGGTCGCACTCTCAGCCAGTGCTGACATAGTTGCCCTCCATATCTGACTCCTGGCAGACTCAGCCAAACTCTATTGCAACCTGAGTAGTAAGCAGAGCACCTTTTACATTTTAGGGTATCACCGGCAGCCAGGGAATATGCCTCTGTCTGTATTGCATCTCTACAGTGATAAAAGCCAGAACAAAGAAGACAGAAACTCTGATTGATTTCAAGACTCCAACTTTCTGGCTGACTGCTACTTAGATATCTCCAACAACTACTCTGAGAATAAAGATGAATATATTTGTGGTGTAAATTGTAAGATTACTGAACCATATGGGAAAAGCCCTGAGACCGAGATGAATAAGGAAGTGGATCAAAAGCTGTCTTCTCTCCCCCCTTACCAAGATTTTCATGGGGTTTGTAAGTGTCTTATTGTCCTGAACCATCAACTCTGCTGAATGTTTCTTTTTTGTTTCTCAAGAGCAGAGCCATAAGTAAATGGATTTCTGTCATGAACTTCTTGAGAAGTATGGGGCCAAACTGGGATTGTACATAATGTATTATTTCATGTAAATGATGAATATATGAAAAACCAATTGTATATGAATACAATGTTGTTAACTGGGGAAGTAAAAATAGCCTCCTTTCCAGACTGGAAGATTAGGGTTTAGGCTCTCATTTTTACCTTACTTATCCAAATTTATTTTAATGATCACCCTTGTATAATAACTTCCTTAATTTATGAACTAAATATATAAAAATTTTAGGAAATTGATAGAGAGCACAAGGTAAAAAATAAATTAAATAAATAAGGTTGGTGGAGAGAATGAGAGAGTGAACAAGCACAGTGAGACTAAAAGCTCTTACATTTTTTGGCTCTGTCTGAAGTCATGGGGTAATTTATGTCAGGGGCTCAGCACCTGGGATTTGTCAGAGCAAAATGGAGGTAGGACTGACCACATGACAGTGAAGATGGCAGTCAATATGCACCTCCAGAACCCTAAATGTAATAAAGATGGTGACTTAACAAAGGCTATCATAGACTATTAGATTTTATATTCAGAAACTTTTCTTCATGTATAGGTGTCAGACTAAGTGGTTCTCACTGGGGAAAAGTCTTCCCACTAAACTATCACAAGTGTGGAATCACTGATATTTTTTATAGGCCTATTTCTATGGAAGTTCAACTGACAGCTTTATTAATTATTTTACAAGTTCATTTTTGTACATCTTTCAGATTTTTGAATGTGTTTTTTTGCAAAAAAAAAAGATTGAGAAAAAGGCACTAAAACTATGTTGAAAATTCTGAGATTAAATGTGAGGAGATTTTTTTTTTGTTTTCAAATAAATCTATTACAGCCAAAGAGGACACCTGTGCAGGCATAAACTCTCTTGGCCTTTCCTCTCCTCTCATGTTCAAAGCATCACTTCCTGGGATTTTCCTACTCAACTGACACTTGGACATATGACCATGTGCATCTCTGAGATAAGCTCAGAATATTTTAAACATGCTTTGTTGTTTATATGTGAATATTTCCAAAGCTCATTTTTTCATCTCCTCTATAAATGCCTAAGAGAAATCCATCCCATTAAATGGAACGTAAATGCATCCTTCTTTTAAAATATCATTTTTAGGCTATATCTTTTGAAGAAGCACTACTGAATTTTTGGTTATACACAGATTGTCAGGAGTTTTAATATAACCCACAATTATAATGATATGTGACAGTGGGTAAGTCAAGAGATGGCTCCTGTCATCCTATCTAATAAATTTTATCCAGGGAAAATTAATTCATTTTGATTTACAATGTTGTAAAATACTGAACACACATGGTTTCTTGAAACAGTATTCTCACAAATTGAAAATATTTTAAAAACTCCAATGTCTGTCTTATTTCAGATCAAATAAATTCAATCAATGGGATGGAAATGAATAAAATGATTATAAATCTGTTTAAGATGTACAACCATAATAGATGCCTTCATGACTCAGTTGAGATTCAGTTCATACTATTGATTTTTAGGCATAGAATTATACAGATATTTTATCATTATTGTCACATGGAAGAATCTTTAACATACTTCATTGCCCCTGTTATTCAGGCCATGGAGTAACAGAGATATGGAAAAAGAAAAAGTCAAATATCAGATTCTGAAACCATGTCTTCTGCCATGCTCTGCAAGTTAGCAAGTTAGAATATATATCTGATTTTTGCTTATATTAAAGAATGATGCAGTAAAATTACCCTACAGACTAATTTGCAGAAAAGACAGCCTCTTCAATTTGTGGATGGGGACTGAGCAGACATTACTCAATTGAGGCCAAGTCCCACTGCTCAGAGAGCCTTGAGATTTTAAAAGACGACCCTCACTCAGCTTTTACTTTGGATAAGAAAGTCATCAAAACAGAACCTAAAGATTGAAGATAGCTGTTATTCTTCTACTGTTTTCTGGCATCAGATTTAAGGATAATGCTTCATTATAGAAATAAGCCTTAGTAACCAAGGTTGCTTCATTCAGCTCAAACAGATTTTATAGCCAAAGCTTAAGAACTCTTGCAGCAGTCTGTGGAAACTGGGAAGAAAAAAAAAAACAGTAACAAAAGAGAAAAATTAAGGGAGAGTTTCAATTTATCTCAGAAATATTGATCCATTCACAATCTTGTATATCATTTTATGTGGAAAGGCCCAAGTTAATATTGTAAGCATTTATTATTTTAGAATGTACAATGTATTTTTGTAACTTATAAAGAAGTTGAGACCTGTTTGGTCTAATAGATGTGGGTACAGTTTATTTTACTTGGAATTTTATTGTTTACTTTAAGTGCATTTAGCACAACTATTATTATCAGGGTTTAGAATCTTTGCAGTCCTAAAAAAATAAATAGTAAGTAATATAGTTATTGAAAAGGTTGCATGACTATAGAAAAATTAAAAGCAATTCTCAATTTAAGCCAAGCAAAATATTGTGCATAAATATTTTGTTTACCAGAAAATGTATAGCATTTATTTAGTAATCTATTTGATGTTTTAATGAGTGCATATTTACACAATTAATTAGAGAAAAGTTAAAAATATGAGAAATAGAGTAGAAAATCTTTCTTATGTAGTAGACTCAGATTGGATTTCATAATTGCTATTTAAGATGTAACAAGTATAGGGAGAAACACCCCTCCTTGACACACCCAGAAGCCTCTTAATCTTGAGCATCTCTGAATCCAATCAACTTGACAATTCAGATTAACCACAAATATTACAATAGATTTTGAGGTGACAGCTTGCCCTGGACGGGTGAATCTCGGCCACCGCTGCCTGGCCACCAGCCCAGAAGGAGGCGTTTCAGCACTGCCGGATAACGTGTGGCGTAGAGACCCTATGAAGAGGTTGCTAACCAAGCCTTCATGAAACAACGGACCAGAACTGAAACTGAGACTGGGACAGACCAGAGACAGACAAGACCCACCCTTCCCATTGGATACTCTGGCAAGGAGTCTGGGGCCCCCCATAGCAGAGAGCTGATGTCACCAGAGTTCAACAGATGGGATCCCTTCCCAGTGGAATCGGCTTCAGCAGGTGTGTGGCTCCCATCCCCACCAGATACATACAGCAGGGAAATGTCAAAAATCTCACCCCAGAGCTTCATGGCTGTGACTATAGGGGCCAAGGGAAGCAGAGGGGACTCCCGACACCCAACTCCCCCTACCACCAGCGATGTGGGTGTGACTGTAGGGGCCAAGAGAAGCAGAGGGTACTTCCGACCCCCAACTCCCCCTACTACCAGTGGCAACAACCAAGGCCTTAATCACCAGTACCTGGGAGCATAGCCACCGAAGGGGTCCAGACAAGTTAAACTGACGGTGTGAGCGGGGCCTGGCTGGCTGGCAGGAGGAAGGTGGGGAGGGGCTGGAGAAGAGAAATGGCTCTGGAGTATGCCCAGTAGGGGAAGAGGAGCTGCCTTACAGGGATTGCTGCTGGCACATAGAGGGCAGAAGCTCGGCTAAGGGGGCACAGCTCCGATTACTGGGAGAGAAGAAAATAGAACTCTAAGACTTTATTTATCTTTTTTTTCCCATTTCAATTTTTATTGTTTTTTCCATTCTCCTTTATTCTACCTATCTTTCTCTCCCTCTTTCTCTCTAAGGATTCCTTCCTTCCCCTTCCCCCTAACTTTCATCCCAAGCATTACAATTTTCACTTTATGTAAGTTTCTAAATGCAAATAGGTGAATGTTCTGAGGCTGTCTATAGGGCTCCTAAATACCTAGCAATTACCAAAAACCCTGATCTATTCACCTGTTAATATCCCCCTTCAGTGGAGCAATCTTCCAAAGTAGCCAAGACATACTAACCTTCATAACATCACAGCATCCAACCTAAACATAAAGTCCTAAGACCAAACAACAGATCACTATATGCCTAGAGAATCTGTAAGCCTTTTATGAATTGAATGAATCAGCTTTAAATTACAATAAAGCCCAGCATCGCTAGACATAGTCTTCCACCACTAAGGAGAGACCACAGACATATATGAAACCAAAACAAATTTATAGGAGAAAACAGAAACACAGCAGTTAAACAGAGTTGGAAAGTAATGTGAACACCATGAGAAAACAAGGGAAAAAAGGATTAGAAACAATGCAGGACAACTTGAATTTACAGGAGAACCTAGAAAAATGGACAGAGAAAGAACTCAAGGCATACCTGACTCAGATGGAATGGAATCTTAAAGAAGTCATTAGAGAGCAAGTCCAAACAATGAAAGAATACTTTGAAAATGAATTACATAAGCAGATTCAAGAAGAAAAAATGGACTCTACCAGGAGATAGAGATTCAAAAAAAAAAATCAAACAGTGATCCTAGAAATGCAGGAATCCATAAACCAAATCAAAAATTCAAATGAGAATATTACAAATAGACTAGATCAAATAGAAGTCAGAACATCAGATAATGAAGACAAGTTTATCAACTCAAAAAGAGTATAGTCAATGCAGAAAGGCTGGAAAGAAACCACGACCAAACATTCAAGAGATATGGGATGTCATAAAAAAACCAAACTTAAGAGTCATTGGAATAGAACAAGGTATAGATGTCCAAACCAAAAGAATGAGCAATCTGTTGAATGAAATAATCTTAGAAAATTTTCAGAAATGAAAGATGGAATGGATTACCAAATTCTGGAAGCCTACAGGACCCCAAACATACAAAACCATAATAGACCAACTCCAAGACACATTATTATGAAGATATCCAATATACAGAACAAGGAGAGAATATTAAAAGCTACAAGAGAAAGGAGGCAGATTACATTCAAGGGTAAACTAATTAGGTTAACAGCTGATTTTTCATCACAGATCTTGAAAACGAGAAGATTCTGGAACATCGTATTTCAAATGCAGAAAAATAACTGATTCCAACAAAGAATATTGTATCCAGCAAAATTAAGCTTCAGATTTGACAAAATTAAAATATTCCACGATAAACAAAAGTTAAAAGAATTCACAGCCAGAAAACCAGCACTGCAAAGCATTTTGAGCAAAATACTACAAGAAGAGGAAATGAAAAACAGCACCCAAAACTAACAGTGGGAGATAACTCAATAAAGGTGGGGGGAAATAACCAAAGAGGAAAAATAAGCCCAATTAAAATAAATAAACAAATAAACATGACTGGAAGTACAAACCATATATCAATAGTAACCCTAAATGTTAATGGCTTAAACTCACCAATCAAACGACATAGGCTAGTAACTTGGATTAAAAAAAACAAAAAAACAGATCCAACATTATGCTGCCTTCAGGAGACTCATCTGACAGGAAAAGACATGCACAGGCTGAAGGTGAAAAGTTGGGAAAAATCATACCACTCATATGGTCCTCAGAAGGAAGCAGGAGTGGCCAAACTCATATTGAATAAAATCAACTTCAAACCTAAGTTAATCAAAAGGGATAAAGAAGGACACTATATACTGTTAAAAGGAACCATTCACCAACAATTCATAACAATTATGAATATGTAAGCACCAAATAATGGTGCTGCAACGTTCATAAAAGAAACTCTCCTCAACTTCCAGAATTAAATAGACCACAACACAATAATTATGGGTGACTTCAACACACTGCTCTCACCATTGGACAGATCCTCCAAACAAAAGCTGAATAAAAAAACTATCGAACTCAATAACAAAATAAATAACCTAGACTTAACTGACATATGTAGAATATATCAACCATCATCAAGTGGGTGTACATTCTTCTCAGCAACACATGGATCCTTATCAAAGACAGAGCATATATTATGCCATAGGGCAACTCTTAGTAAATATAAAGGTGTGGAGAAAATACCATGCACCATATCTGATCATAATAAAATGAAACTGGAAATCATGATGAAAGAAGGAAGTAAAAATCCTGCATCACCTGGAAAATGAACAATATGTTACTGAATGATGAATGGGCCACAGAACATAAAGGAGGAAATCAAAACTCTTAGAGATAAATGAAAATACAGACACAACATACCGGAGTCTATGGGACACAATGAAAGAAGTCTTAAGAGGGAAATTTATTGTCTGGAGTTCATTCCTCAAAAAAAAAGAAAAAAATAAACAACAAATAAATGAGCTCACACTTCATCTCAAAACCCTAGAAAAGGAAGAGCAAAACAACAGTAAATGTAGCATAAGGCAAGAAATAATTAAAATCAGAGCAGAAATCAATGAAATTGAAACAAAAGAAACAATTGAAAAATTGACAAAACTAAAAGTTGGTTCTTTGAAAAAATAAATAAGATTGACAGACACTTAGCCATACTAATGAAGAGAAGAAGAGAGAGAACTCAAATTACTAGCATATGGGATGTAAAAGGCAATATCTCAACAGATGATACAGAAATACAGAAAATAATTAGAAATTATTTTGAAACCCTATATTCCAATAAAATAGAAGATAGTGAAGATATTGATAAATTTCTTAAGTCATATGATGTGTCCAGATTGAGTCAGGAAGATATACACAATTTAAACAGACCAATAACAAAGGAGGAAATAGAAGAAGCCATCAAAAGACTACCAACCAAGAAAAGCCCTGGACCAGATGGGTATAGAGTGGAGTTTTACAAAGCCTTTACACAAGAGTTAATACCAATACTATTCAAGTTATTTCAGGAAATAAATGAAGAAGGAGCTTTTCCAAATTCATTCTATGAGGCCAACATCACCCTGACACCGAAACCAGAAAAAGATACTTCACAAAAAGAAAACTACAGACCAATATCTCTAATGAACCTAGATGCAAAAATCCTCAATAAAATTCTTGTGAATCAGATACAAAAGCATATCAAAAAAATTGTGCACCATGATCAAGTAGGATTCATCCCTGGGATGCAAGGCTGGTTCAATATACAGAAATCAAAAAATGTTATTCACCACATCAATGGACTTAAAGGTAAGAGCCATATGATCATCTCCATAGATGCAAAAAAAGCATTCCACAAAGTACAGCATCCCTTTATGTTCAAAACACTAGAAAAACTAGGGATAACAGGAACTTACCTCAACATTATAAAAGCTATATATGCTAAGCCTCAGGCTAGCATCATTCCAAATGGAGAAAAACTGAAGGCATTCCCTCTAAAATATGGAACAAGAAAGGGATGCCCTCTCTCACCACTTCTACTTAATATAGTTCTCGAAATACTGGCCAGAGCAATTAGACAGACAAAAAGAAATTAAAGGCATAAAAATGGGAAAAGAAGAACTTATAATATCACTATTTGCGGATGACATGATTCTATACCTAGCAGACCCCAAAGGGTCTACAGAGAAACTTTTAGAGCTACTAAATGAATTCAGCAAAGTGGCAGGATATAAAATCAATATGCATAAATCAAAGGCATTCCTGTATATCAGTGACAAATCTTCTGAAATAGAAATGAGGACAACCACCCCATTAACAATATCCTCAAAAAGAATAAAATAAAATACTTGGGAAAAAGAGGTGAAAGTTTTATACAATTAAAACTATAGAACCCTAAAGAGAGAAATAGAAGATATCAGAAGATGAAAAAATATACCCTGTTCATGGATAGGCAGAACTAACATCATCAAAATGGTGATTTTACCAAAAGTTCTCTATAGGTATAATGCAATGCCAATCAAAATCTCAACAGTATTTCTTGTAGAAATAGATAAAGCAATCATGAAATTCATATGGAAAAATAAAAGACCCAGAATAGCAAAAATAATTCTAAGCATGAAGAGTGAATCAGGTGGTATAGCGATATCAGACTTCAAACTATACTACAGAGCAATAGTAACAAACAGCATGGTACTGGTACCAAAACAGGCAGGTGGACCAATGGTACAGAATAGAGGACACAGAGACCAATCTACAAAATTGCAACTATCC